ATTAAAAAAAAAAAAAAAAAAAAAAAAAAAAAAAAAAAAAAAAAAAAAAGGTATTCACTGCATTCTTATATTCAGTAAATACCTCAAACCTCATCTGGAAACATTTCGCCTTATAAATATTACCAATTTATTATGTCATAAATTAAAATAAAAAGCCAAATGTAATCCAAGCTCCCTGCATGTCAAAATAAATAAAGCAGCTTTATAATTCAAATGGAGGGTGGGGGTTGCTATGTTTAAAATGGGGTACCTACCATTTACAGAAAAGCTTTAAAAAAAATAAAAGAAAAAAATGTATACATTGTTATGGATGGAAAACAAAAATGGCGGATCAGAAAATAAACTTGCTTATTCATTTTTTTTCTTCCACAGATTTTCCCAAGCAAATGGGAAGCGAACTTCTCAAGGCACTAAACACCTCCCACAATTTTCAGTTCAAGTACTTTACCTTTCACAATGTGTAAAATAAGAAATTACAGAGATGTTGGACAAGCGGTGATGATCATGTGACATTCACAGTGACTGTGGGATGCAGAGCATGGCTGTGTGCATTTGTGGCCTCGGCCAAAGACTACTGCAGCATAACCATACCACTAATCCAACTCTTAATGCTGACAAGGGGCTGTGACAGTCATACAACTCATTTTCAGCACTGCTGAGATGTAAAATCAAAAACACACAGGGCGCTGACAGGCTCAAACACTTGAAAACAGAGAAAGGCATCAAAGCTACGTGATCCTCAGGTTGGAACCAGACTGTTTCACGGTAGGTTGCTGCATGGACATGGGGAAAATCTGCATGCTTGCAGATTGCGCAATCAGCTGACTTCCTGCTATGGCAGGCGTTGTTGCTCCAGACCACTGGGCTCCGTACACTGGTGCGGGGAAAACTCCAGCATACTGACAAAGGGGCATCATGTAAGATGGCAATATACCAGACTGGGTTGCTCCAGAAAGGGCTGCTGGGAATGATGTGGACATCAGTCCCGTGGGAGCTAGGCATGGCAGTGAAGCGCTGTACTTCCTGGCTGTGTCAGAAGAAGGTTGACTTCCCTAGAAAGAAAATATAAAAAATGAACACAAATTCTTTTAAAACCAAGATGAACGTGCTCAGGTACAATCCATTCCGATGAGAAACTTGAAGCCTGTCCTATTTCCACTTTTGCACTCAAATTTGAGAAAAACCCTCTAAATGTTTCCTAAATGCTCCTCTTCACACACAATACCTAAAACGTTTTAACATATGTTTTACCCTTTAGATGTTTCTTTGGAGAAGACATTTGCACAGGTTTTAGGCTATTCTGAGCAGTTTGAAAGGGAAAGTAGAGACAAACTGAGGGACAGACTGAGCTTCTTCCCATGATCACACAATTTGTCTAAGTCTGTAATCATTTGTTACGACAGACCGTGTTCAAATCTAGTTTACAATAATGAGATCTGCCAGCGTAATACAAATAGGGTAATTAGAGTAAACCACCCCCCGCAGCCCCCTCCTTAACATTACATAAGTGGGGAGCTAGGTAGGGTTTTTAATAAGCACTTACATATATTTTTAATTATGATATGTCAATGGGAACATGTAACAAATATAAAGTAGGAGTTATCCCAATTTGGTTGCAAAACTGGAAATACATTTTAGGCTCAAGGTTCTCTATGCAAAGGCAGAGAGCTGACAGAACACTAGAAAAGAGCTGCCTGTTGCTTTGAGGAATCCTTTAGGGAACCCTGTGGGTCAGAAACTGACTTGAGTTTTGTTAGTGGCTCGGATGAGCAGACATTTTGTTTTATGGACTTGCTGTACAAAGCCCTCATGCATTGGAACGGTATTTATCTGCTGCTTTGCTGAACAAAAGTGCAGGCCCAACCTGCTTGGACTGTTCCTGGGTATAACCTGTCTCTTGCATGGTTTATCACTGCTAATACCAGTTGAGTCTGTCCCCCTTACAATATGCAAATGAAACAGGCTTGCACATATAACCAGTTACCTTGTCCCTTTTATAATCTTTTGGGAGTTGTACTGGGCTCATGAAGGGCATTATCTCAAATTTCTTTGCATTTACTTCTAAAGTGAATGCAGACATGGTTAGTTATGACTAGGCTAAAGTTTGATCAAAGGTTGCATCTGGATCCCTTTCTCTGGGACCAATGTATTCCTGCCCAGGGGAATCCCTATGCTTAGTATCACCCAGAGCGGCAACCGATGACACCCTACTGGGACGTCATTATGCATGTGCGTGTTGACGTCACGTGCACTTACCTGCAAGCGGCCATCCTGGTGGTGGATGCCAGCAAAAAGATAAGGGGATGTTCACACAGCAGGATAAAGTATGTTGCCGGGTCCCCTCCTCTTGCGTGCAATTGTCGGGCTCTCGGTCCATGACCGAGTACCAATCTTATTAGAGGGGAAAATGACTGTCATTTTGGCGTCACCTCCTCCAATGGTGTCACCCAGTGCGGGCCGCACCCCCCTAGTGACAGCACTGTCCCTACCTGCATTTAGCTATAGGACTGCATGTACAGTATGTATATGTACAGCTGTGGATGTCTCATATATACAGCTCATTACCACATGTTCCCTCTCGTTTCCTGATGCTCACGTAAAAGCATTTGCTGTATAAAAATAATTTAATGGTTTGTGGCATTGCAAGCATTAAGTCAACCAGGAACCAAGAGCAACACAACTTCATCTTTTCTAATCACAAAAGTACACTTGTCCTTCAGAAGAAAATGTCCTTACTGTGACCACCACAGGTTATTTTGTTGAAAATCTATAAACTTGCGAAGGATTTTCCATTATTTAAACATTTGTAAAGGATAATTTGTTACTAGAGGCTCCTTTCAATGCAGTGTATCCATATTTCACTTTCTGAAACAGTATGTGCTAGTTTAGAATCAATAAAATGTACGGGGTCAATTATACAGCGAGAATGATAATCCTACAAAAGCAGGGTCACTATATAATGCATCTGACGATGCAAGAATGGGTCTTTAGTACAAGATAAAAGACCCAATATATATCTTCTCAAACAATGGCTGAGGACCACCCGGAGACAGATTTCTCCCGACTTATCTAATTGGAGTCATAAGGGTTCCTTTCTTCTTCACACTGTCTGTGTAGCTCTCGTATCTAAATATCTCAAAAATCTGTGTGAAACCTCCATCTTCAACACCCAGTTTGTATTATGCATTCCATCAGAAGCACATGTGACATGGAAGAGCAGTTAGGAGATGGGGATAAAGCACTGTTACGGGGTGACAAGGATCCTAATGGCAGTACGGCCAAGTGCTCTTTGAACTGCCTCCTGGCCGGCCATTGTGCTTAAGCGGCCGGCAGCTTCCTAAATGTGACAGGCTGTCTAAAGACGGCCTGTTAGCCCCGCCCACATGCGAGCAGGAAACTGCTAACATTTAAAAACAGGCAGCAATGCTTGTTTACATACAAGCGATCCAAGCTTCCAGGCGAATTTGGGAAAATGGAATTACTGCCACCAATTTGCTATATTTTCCCCCCTGCTGCTGCTCTTTCCTTTAGCCGAATGCTTTTTCTCCACTGCGGCTGCCGATGTACTATCTGTACACCGTACGCAACAGCACAGCCCTGCACTCAGTATTTCAAATTCCACGTGCAAATGGCGAGCACTCATTGGTCAACAAGATCATCTGACTGAGCTGACCAATGAGTAGCACTTAGCAAAAATCTCTTCTTATTGACCAATGAGTGTTTGGCATTTGTGAGCAGAATTTGAAATACCGAGCACAGGGCTGTGCTGCTGTGTATGGAGGATAGTACATCAACAACTGCAGAGGGGAAGGAGCGTAATCCAATTTTCCCAAATTCGCCTGGGAATGTGGAATCATCCTTTAAGGAGTAAACTATTAAATCGTTTTTAGATCTGTCAATCTGCCTTGTACCTGTTCTATTTTTTTTTTTTTTAAAAACCTCTTAGTTGTGAGTAATAAAAAAACAGGGGGTGATAAAGTGATTACAGTAAACTCTCAGTTGTCTGGTATTCAACTAACCAGAACTCTCATCTAACCAGAAAAAATTCCATGTGTACTCCCTGTTCTACGGCATGTATTATCCTGGAAATGATCGTGTGTCTATTTGTCTTAATTTGCTTTTGATTACTGCATTTCAATATTAATATTAAATCAATATAGAGTTTATGTTATGATATGGTATAGTATGGGTATGGCATTAGTTAGACCCATTTTTAAGAGTAACTCTCAAGCAACCAAAATACATTTATCCGGAAACTACCAATCCCAGTGGATGCCGGATAACAGGGAGTTTACTTTATGTACTTACTGCATTTTGATCTCCAGGTGTAGCTGTAGGCTTGTGCTCCAGGTCCAGCCGCTGCTGATACTGCTTCAGTTGATTAAGAGAAGGTTTGAATTGTGCTGCTCCAACGGTTTTGCTTGCCCACTCATCCACCAGCTTGTGAAGGTCATCAGTAAATGTTCCCTTTTTGTTGTTACTATTGTTGGACTGGGCCTGAACTTGCTGTGCATTTAGTGAAGGGACTAGTGATGGTTCAGGGCCTGTTGCAAGGCTGCTTGTTGAGGATCCTACATGAGGGCAAACAAATCTCAGTCATTAGAGCTTTAGAAGAGACATGGCTGGT